TCACAGGGCTCACAGAGCATAGTGTTCATAGGGCTCGTGGGGCCCATGAGGCCCATAAGGGTCATAGGGCTCATAGGGCTCGTAGGACACATGGGACGCATAGAGTTCATATGGCTCATAGGGCTCACAGCGCTCGTAGGGCTTATGGGGATCATGAGTGTCATAGGGCTCATCAGGCTCATATTGCTCATAGGGCTCGTAGGGCTCATAGGGTTCATGTGGCTCATAGGGCTCGTAGGGGTCGTCGGGCTCAGAGGACGCATCGGGGCGCATAGGGCTCGTAGTGCTCATAGGGCTCATGGTGTGCATAGGGCTCGTAAGAATCATAGGGTTCACAGGGCTCATAGCGCTCGTAGGGTTCTTATGGCTCGTAGGGCTCAGGGCTCACAGAACGCGTATGGCTCATGGGGCTCATGAGGGCTCATGTGGCCAGTGAGGCTCATAGGGCTCATGAGGGCTCAGGTGGCGCAGAGGGGCTCATAGGTCTCATAGGGCTCAGGAGGCTCATAGGGCTTTTAGGGCTCATAGGGCTCATAGGGGTCGTAGAGTTCGTATGGCTCGTAGGGCTCAGAGGTCTCATGGGGCCCATCGGGCTCATAGGGGTCATGGGGCTCATAGGGCTCATGGGGTGCATAGGGCTCATCAAAACCATCGGGCTCAGAGGTCTCACAGGGCCCATCGGGCTCATAGGGGTCATGGGGCTCATAGGGCTCACAGGGATCGTAGGGCTCATGGGGCTCATGAGGCTTACAAGGCTCATAGGGCTCACATGGCTCACAGGGCTCATAGGTTTCATATGGCTTGTAGGGATCATAGGGCTCATATGGCTCAGAGAGCTGACAGGGGCTCATGCGGGCTCGTAGGGCTCATAGGGGTCATGGGGTGCAGAGGGCTCAGAAAGCTCGTAGGGCTCGTAGGGCGCGTATGGCTCGTAGGCCTCATGGGTTTCACGTGGGGCATAGGGCTCATAGGGCTCATGGGGGCTCATGCGGGCTCATAGGGTTCCTATGCCTCGTAGGGCTCAGAGGGGTCATAGGGATCATAGAGATCAAAGGTCGCACCGTGCTCGGAGGGCTCACAGGGCCCGTTGCGCTCATCGGGCTTATAGGGCTCATAAGGGGTCCCAGGGAAGCAGGTATGAACGTGGCGCTAGAGGAATAACCAAGGTATCTAAGATACAACCTTGCGGAGATCAATGAGTGTGGCCTCTCGGTGCCTTGGCGGGGCTTTGTTTGGGGCTCTTTTGGGCCGTCTGGCGGCCCTCGTGGCCCGCTGCGAGACCTTCTTGGGCCGTCCTGGGGGTCGTGGGCCGTCCTGCGGCCTTCTTGGGCCCTTTCGGGAGCCTCTTGCGACCTTCTTAGGGTTGTCTTGGGAGCTTTGGGGGGTTCTGTGGGGCTTCATGTGGGCCGTCTTGGGGCTGTCTTGGGCCGTGTTGGGGCTCTTTGGGGCTGTCTTGGGGCCCCCTTCGGGACTTCTTTGGCCGCATCGGGGCGATCTTGGGGCCCGGCTAGGTCGTCTTGGACGCTTTGAGGTCCAAAGAATGGAATTTGCAGAATAGGTACGTTTTGAAGGAGGAATGAGACTATTTGTGCCTCTTGGGGATCCCCCTGGGGGGCCTCTTGCGGCGTCCTGGGGTCTTCTTGATCCGATTCGAAGTCACTCTGGGTCCTCTTTGAGCGCCCATGGGCTGCCCTGGAACGGTTTTGGGCCGTCCCCTGCCTCCGCAGGACCGTCCGGGAAGCGATCGTGGGCCCGCCCGAGGGGCTCCTCAAGCCGGAAATTCTCATTCCACGTCGGTTGGAGCGCCCAGGGCCGAATTTCTGTACGGGGGTGTGGGGGGTGCGGGGGGGTTCCTTACAAGAATATTCGAGAAGGTATACAAATATACACATTTATATGTATGTCTGCATGTGTGTGTATATATATATATATATATATAGATATGTATTTAAATGTATATGTGTATATATATATATAAATAGAATTTCGCGGGCGGAGGAGGATGGCCTTGAGATCCGGGCGCTGCAGGCGTTCCACCACGGGACATTTTGCCCCGCCCCGTTTCGGGGAGTGGTGGCATCGGTATCCTTTTGGTTTCCGAGCCCGCGCCTCGCTGCGCCAGCATCATGTCGCAGCATCCTGTCGTCGTCGTCGTCGGCGGAGTCGGGGTCGGAGGAGCCAGAGCAGTCGGATTCGGCGTCGCAGTCGGGGTCGGAGTCCGAGTCGGAGGAGGAGGAGGAGGAGTAGGAGGAGGAGGAGGAGGAGGATGGATGGTGGTGGTGATGATGGTGATGATGGATGATGGATGATGGATGATGGATGATGGATGATGGATGATGATGGATGATGATGATGATGATGACGATGACGATGACGATGACGATGATGATGATGATGATGAGGATGATGATGATAATGAGGATGATGATGATGATGATGATGAAGACGACGATGATGCTGCTGCTGTTGACGACGATGATGATGATGATGCTGCTGCTGATGATGATGATGATGCTTCTGATGATGATTATTATGATGATTACGAGTACGATGATGGTGATGATGCTGCTGCTGATGATGATGCTGCTGATGATGCATGATGATGCTGCTGCTGATGATGATGATGGTGATGGTGATGATGCTGCTGCTGATGATGATGATGCTGATAATGCTGCTGATGATGCTGATGATGATGATGATTATTATGATTATGAGTACGACGATGGCGATGATGCTGCTGATGATGATGATGCTGATGATGATGATGCTGATGATGATGATGGTGGTGGTGATGATGATGATGATGATGATGCTGTTGCTGCTGCTGCTGATGGTGGTGGTGGTTGTGGTGATGATGATGATGATGATGATACTGATGCTGATGATGATGATGATGATGATGATGATGATGATGATGATGATGATGATGATGGTGGTGGTGGTGGTGGTGGTGGTGGTCGTGGTGGTGGTGGTGGTGGTGGTGATGATGATGATGATGATGATGATGATGATGATGATGATGATGATGATGATGATGATAATGCTGAGGATGAGGAGGAGCAGGAGGAGGAGCAGGAGCCAGAGTAGTCGGATTCGGCGTCGGAGTCGGGGTCGGAGTCGAGTCGGAGGAGGAGGAGGAAGAGGAGGGGAGGAGGAGGAGGAGTAGGAGGAGGAGGAGGAGAAGGAGGAGGGAGGAGGGAGGAGGAGGAGGAGGGGGAGGGGGAGGAGGAGGAGGAGGAGGAGGAGGAGGAGGAGGAGGAGGAGGAGGAGGAGGAGGAGGAGGAGGGAGGAGGAGGAGGAGGGTGAGGAGGGAGGAGGAGGAGGAGGAGGAGGAGGAGAAGGAGGAGGAGGAGGCGGAGGAGGATGAGGACAGTTGCCACATGGCTATCGCATAACTTTAGGAGCGGTGACAGACGGTGGAGGTCAACAACCGAACCTCACGCTAACTCACCGCCGCGCCCGCCATGTGAAACTCACAG